TCTTCCTCCTCCTCCCTCCTCCTCCCTCCTTTTCTTCCTCCCTCCTCCCCCTCCTCCTCTCCCCCTCTTCTTCCTTCTTTTTTAGTAGTTTATGGGAGAGAAGAGTCTCATGGACTTTCCTGTCCAGGCTGGCTTCGAACTGATTCTCAGATCTCAGCCTCCTGAATAGCTAGTATTACGGGCATGAGCCACCGATGATTGGTGAAAGTAACTTTTGATATTCTAATTAGATGAAATTAAACATTAGGAACTCTATAAGGCATCTTATGATGGATGAGATTCAGGGGACACTTGGAGCATGACATTTCTGGTTAGTTGGGAGAAGGAACAAATTAAAGTTTCAGCAGTCATCAACAACTTCATATTTGCTTACCTGTCCTGCCTTGGCAACGCACAGAATTCTTCAGATTTCCACTCTCGACAGTGACTTCCACCTCATATTGCCTTCCAGGTATGAGCCCCACATCATCCACAACATACTGCGTTTCTTCCTTTCCTACAGTGGTGTTGAGCAGCACGGAACTGTCATTGAAGAGCAGGATGCGGTACTGCTCCCAGTCTCCAGCAGGGGGTGACCAGCTTACTACCAGGGACCTCATCCAACCATTGTTGTTGGCCTCCAGATGTCCAACTTTATCTGGAACTAAACAATGATATGATGTGAAGAAGGTACTATTTTTAGTGCCTTTTAGTGCCTTACCAAAACTAAGAATACTGTTACTTTTCAGGGATAAGAGTTAGTAAGAGATCCAGTGTCTGCCAATCAAAATATTTCTATCCCTTGTTAATGTCTGTAGAGGGCAAATGAATAGTTCTTTTTCATTTTGAAGACACTTGTCACTCAAGTAATGTACACTAAAATATTTTGTAAGATTAACAGTGATGAGATCTGCTCTAACACCGTTAACAATCTAGTGAATGTTATTTTTCATGGATTGCTTGCCAGCCCTAGAGACCATGCTGATACTGTTTCTAATGATAGTGATACTGTAGATTTGCTATCTTTTGGAAGAGATACAGAATGTGGCGGTCATGAAAAGAACAATTTTTATTCAGTATGGCTCTGATCAGATTTTTCTTTGCTTAGAAACATTCCAGGAAGGTCTCCTTAAAAACTAAAGAAAATAAAATGTTAAGCCATTTGCATTTTGGCGCTATGTACTATCTCTCTTCCCAGGCTTACCTTTGATTGCTCCATGCTGCCACTCTCCCTGCTTTCCTATACCTTCTGATGCCAGGCTCCAGCTACCTGCTCAACAGACTTATTGTCTCCTGGGCACTTCCACCTTCGTTCCTTGCGTATATCATTCCTTCCATTCTTTCATCTTTTCCCTCTTCATTTGCTTAGAACTTCACAATTTTCAATGTGAACCCCAAGGCTATTTTCTCCAAGTTTTCACTGAGCTTTTGAAAGACTATTTTGTCTTTTTTTTTTCTTTTGAGGGAAATTGAGTTCTCTAAGAGCATAGTGTTTGAAATCAAAAAGCTTGGTTTAAATGCTAGCTCCATTGCTTATTGGTTAAATGTCTATGAACAAATCATTTGTCTTTTCTGAATTTCTGTCAAATGGTCACAATATTAGGGCCTAAATGAAATAATAGCTGCCAAGTGTTCACTCAGTTCCAGAAGCATGGAAATAACAATATCACTTCCATTATTAAAAGGCAGTTGAGTGTGTGTATGCACATGAGTTCTACAAGCGCAACTTGTTTATAAGAAAGTGCCTGCAAGGCCCAAATAGCAAATGTTTCAGGCTTTGTGAGTCATGTATGATCAGTGTCCCATACGCTTCTTCATGTTTTCATGAACTTTTAAACAAACTAAAGAAATGAACCCTGAAAATAAATCTTTTTGTAATCCTTTAAATATGTAAAAACCACGCTTAGGGCAGCAAAAAACCAAGCCATCAACTAGGTGTGGCCTGAAGATGTGGTTTTCAGAGCCTGCTTTAAAGGCAGCAGCATCTTTTATTCATTTTAACAATGTCCAAGACTTGTGACATGGTAATTTAATTTACATACAGTGCTAGATAGTATTTAATAACATAAATTGGTAAAAATAACATGTGGAAAGTATGGTTCAGTGCTAAGTGATCCTTAACTAGGAATGTATTAAAATGCTTTGTTTAGTGAGATCAGTGCAATGCACTTATGCTACTTAAGTGATGTGACATGAAAAAACATGGGACAATGTACAGGTCATTCAAGATCCAAGTATGTTTTCTTAAATAACTTACTTGATTAAAATTAACCCTCTGTCAATCCTATAGATCCCATTTCACATGCAAGAAATGAATGTTTCCTTTTATCTTATTTGATCCTGTTTTTATATGGATTAGAGAATGGTTTGAGCAACCAGAGGATACTCTGGAGCCCAAGACATACCTGTTCTGCCCACTGCCATCTTCTGAGCAGAGAGTTCACCAGAAATAGAGTTGATGGTGACCTGATACAGTCTTCCAGGAGTTAAGCCTTTAAAGTGAGTTTCAGTGACTTGAGAAGCTAATACTCTGGATCCCTCAACAGACCCTTGATGAGACAGGGAGATGTTATAGAAGTCCACATCTCCGGGAGGCTTTTGCCACCTGACTTTTAGAGAGGTCAAGCTTCCATCATTTGTCACCTTCAGATTCGAGACTTCCATAGGAACTAATGAGTAAAACAACAGAAAAGAGATTTTACTCAGGATATTATACCAATTTCCTGACCAAATTGTGATCTATATTTTAATTCTGGCAGGAGATACTCCATAAGAAAAGAAAGCAACTACTTTGAGAGGTAAAAATTATACTGTACAAAGAAGGCTGTCTGATTCATGCTAGGAGCAAAATCCTGGCAGTCAAGAGCATGGACTCTGGTTGGCACTTGGCCAGCTCTCCACAGGACTCTGGGCTCTTCTCTGCTTTTTTCCCCTACCTAGTGTTTGTTAACATAAATGATGCCTGGTCAAAATACCTAAAGTGGTCCTTTCCAATTCTGAAATTGTTTAGATAGAAGGCATGAAGAGGCCTGTTATCTGCTGACCTTTTTCTCATGTCTACATATATTATGTATATACATATATACATATATTATGTATACAATATGTATTATATAGTATATGTACTATATATACTACATAGTATATATACCACATATAATATGTATGCTATATATAATATGGATATATGTATATATTACATATCTTATATAAAATATATACTATATAGTAAATATAACACATAATATATATTATATAGCCTATAGTATATATAGATATATACTATGTAATATATATAGTATATAGTAATACTATATTTAGTATACTATATAGTATATAGTATATATGCCATATATACTATATACTTACTATATAGTATATAAATATACTAATACACTATATTTAGTATATATTACATTATATAAAATACACATTATATACATAATATAGATTGATCAATTGATTTGTTTATTGCTAAAATTACTTTTTATACAAGTCATAATTAACGAGATATGTGATGGTTTCACCCAAGGAAAAATAATGACCAAAGCATGTAGGCAGAAAAATTTCCACATTGAAGTATTTACATATTAACCTTTTTGCAAACCTTACCTGAGTTTCAGTTTGCATTACATTACCATTATTCAAATAACAATTCGACTTAACTTGATATGACCTTTCTTCTTGTCTAGAACAGAGAAGGAACTTACCTGTCCTGACTAGTTTCCACCTGGAGTTTTGCAGTCCTACAGCCATGCTCATAATGGTCAGATTGTAGAGATGGCCAGGTGTCAGCCCACGAAAAACGTAAGAAGTACCAAATGTGTCCATGACAGTGTCATGAGCTAGGCTTCCTTTGTCCATGAGCTTCAGCTGGTACCCTTCCACGTTCCCAGGACCAGGCGACCAGGAAACCAGGAGAGAATTAGCTTTTATGGAAATACCAATATCATTCACTGGAGATGGCACTATGGGATAAATACATGTCCAAAAGTTATGAATAATTGCCTTAGAGAAGACATAGGCACATTCAACTCAACTAGAATTCACAAATGTATTTGTACTTTTTGTGTATCTTGTATAATAGCAATGACAAATAATAGCCCCTTTGAAATATAACTGGAACCTTCATTAATGCTCTTTTCACAGTCTATACTAAAGACATTCCATGGTTTGCTTTTCCATTTCCCTACTCAGTAACTTTTTAAGTTAGTTTTTGTCAATGCCATATGACATGGCTTAACAGTAAATGCAAGAAAAAAAGGAAAGGACTGTAAGAGATAAAAAATGAAAGCAAGATAAATCAAGAGACAAGTGAATGACAGGAAAGGCATGCATGTTTTGAAAGCACATGATATCATGATACCTGGGCACAAAGTATGACTAGTTTTTCACATCAAAAAAGCAAAGACTTGTTTTGGTTTTTGTCAGTTGTGGGGCTTGAACTCAGGCTTGAACTTTTATTCAAGGCTAGCCCTCTACCACTTTGAGACACAGCTCCACTTCTGGTTTTTGAGTAGTTGATTGGAGATAAGAGTCTCACAGGGACTTTTCTGCTGGGGCTGGCTTCAAATCACAATCCTCAGATGCTCAGCCTCCTGAGTAGCTAGGATTACAGGGGTGAGCTACTGGAGCCTGGCCAAAGACTTGTTGCAAACATAGGAATATTTAGAAAACATCATGATCTGAAATATCAGGTCATGAAAAGAAAATATACAAAAGAGAAAAACATTTAAAAACTCTTAAGTTTTATAGCATGAACTTGGAAAATGAAATAGAAAAACCTTGTTGACTAGAATTTCAATTACAAGACCCTTTAGGAAGCATCTATTTCAAATTGGAGAAAACTCAGTGTCAAGTAAATCTTATGACCTGTTCAAAATCGCCTAACAAATCCCCAGCATATTCACACATGCTGTGTTTAGTCTCCCTCTCCTTTATAAGGCTAGTTTGTCTACTTCTATATGGCATAAGGTAGTCTCCTTCTCATTCACTGAATAACATAGAACTTCAAAGTTACCACAGAGAGCTGGGGATATTGCTTGGTGGTAGAGTACTTTCCTCACATAAACAAAGCCCTGATTTGATCCTCAATATCTCAAAAATAGAAAGTTATTCACAGACCATTGACTATAGACAATACTGGTCTTACCTGTTGATCCATTGGTATAAACAGTAGAGGAACGCTTATCTCCAGAAACAGCTGTGATAGCCATAGTATAATGATTACCAGCAGTGAGGTTTAAAAAGGTGTATTCATTCTGTGAAGTACTTTCTTGAATTTGGACTTCCTGTATCTTTTGGTTGCTATCATCAAATAATTGCACTTCATACCAAGTGACTTTTCCAGGAGAAGGAGTCCACCAGACCTGCAAGCTGGCTGATGCACTTTTCTCTCTATTGACTTCAAACCTGGCAGGAGGTAAAGGGTCTACAAGGAAAATACCAACAAAAAGAAGCATAAGTTGGAGGGTTTTGTTTTTATTTTTATCTTTTTTTTTTTTTTTTTACCAAATAACTGCTTATACTGCTTCAATCAGAAATCAAGGTTCATTTCCCACAATAACTTAAATGAAGCATACTTTGCTCATTTCCAAACCTACTATTTCATTTCATAGACACCATTCATAGCTATTAGTCATGTGAATTTCTTTTTTCTAATTAAAATTTTTTGTTGTTAAGGTAGCTCTGACCTTGTAACTTCAAGCAAGGTTGTATTTTCTTTGGCTTCTAAGCTTAGCAAGTTATTCAAACATTGATAAACATTCAGGTGATGCCTGGATAAATACTGAAAATCTGGACAGACATTAAGAATTAATTTGAGGGGCTAGGAATGTGGCTTAGTGGTAGAGTATTTGCCTAGCATGCCTTAAACCTGGGTTAGATTCCTTAGTACCACATAAACAGAAAAAAGCTGGAAGTGGCACTGTGGCTCTAGAGGTAGAGTGCTAGCCTTGAGCAAAAACAAGAAGCTCAGGGACAGTGCCCAGGCCCTGAGAGCAAGCCCCAGGACTGGCAAAAAAAATTAATTTGAAATTTGTACAGAATTTCCCCCTCTAGGTTGTGGATTATTGCTATCATCTTTAAATGAGTTTTAGCTGTTAGCAAAACACAAGAGAGTAAATGAAACCCTGATACAGACTTTTTTGCTTGCCCAAATGAACTCTCCCAACAGCCTGAACTCCCTGCAACCTTAGATTTAAACAAGTCTTAGTTCTGGGCCATGTTGAATTTTCTGGAGTCCCCAGAACAGGTGGGAATGGAAATATTTCACATCCAGCTGCTCATTTCAACTCACAAAGCTGAGGGTCAGTTTGAGAAGTTCTGGTTTTGCCTGTGTTAAATCTTTACCACTGAACTTGAAACAGGATGAAGAACTTCTATCTGGGTTAGGACCTAAGTCAGGAGCACTGGATAAAGAGCCATTCTTTTGGCTTGTGAAGAGTGGAATCTGTGAAAGGAGGCTGTGTATAACTTGAATGTTATTGAGAGACTTCTACATATGTGAATTTCCCATCAGTCTTACATGGTTTTGATTGGGAAAGTGCAATCAAGACACATTGGAAGAGTCTACAAATGGGATAAATTTGATCAAGGTATGCATGTATGCAACTACCACAATAAAATGGCATTATACAACTATTTTATACTAATAATTTTTTAAAGACATAAACACTGGAGAATAATTTTGAAGGGTCAGGCTATGTATTTTAGTAGGATGGGTATGGTGACTTCAGTTTTATCTATTTCCTGGTAAAATCCTTTTTTTTTTTTGGTGGGGGAGACAGTTGTGGGACTTGAAGTCTGGTCCTGTGTGCTGTCCCTGAGCTTTTGTGCTCAAGGCTAGTGCTCTGCCACTTTGCGCCACAGCGCCACTTCCGGTTTTCTGGTAGTTAGTTGGAGATAAGAATCTCATGGACTTTTGAACTTCCATCATCAAATCTCAGCCTCCTGAGTAGCTAGGATTACAGGCATGAGCCTCCAGCGCCCAACATAAAATACATTTTGATCACAACAGTAGAAATTCTAGATCTTATTAGAAAAGTATTTGTTTGGAGATGTTCATTGCGATTAATGTAAATATAATAATAGATAGCATTTATTGATAAGTTAACCTATCTTTCTATCTATAGATAGGATATTTATTGATAATTGACATACAACTCGTAAGGCTATGTCAATAAACATCATAGACTTAATATAACCTGTGAAATCTGATGTCTTTATGTTTTATGCTATGATTTGTATGAGTAAATGATTCTGTTGAAGTTAAATATGTCAAATAAAATTTTATAACACCAATAATTAATAATAATATACACATAAAATGACCAGTAAACTGAGGCAGTAAGTAAGATAACGAGAGCCCAATGCATGGGAGTTTGGGAGATAAAAGACTGTAGGTCATACCATATCACAGCCTTTGGGTTTCCTAAGACTATAGGTTCTTAAGTCTTAAGGTCTGGGCTCGAATCTCATTCTCCTACTTTGTAAATATATCGTTTGAGCTATTCGTTAACCAATCTGTGCCTCAGTTGCCTTGTCTATGATATTAACAGCATAATTTTAGAGAAGTGTTACAAAGATGAAAGCAAGTATTCTAGAACTACTTAGAAGAGTACTTGGTACATTCTATGTGCTCAGTACTAGCTATTATCATTGTTATGCTAATCAGATAAAGCTATTGCCACAGAAGCAATGACATTTTGGTAGAGAACATGGACTTTGGTATTAGACAGAGCTAAATTCACATCTAGACTCCATCACTTACTAGTACAAGACTAAGCAAGTTACTTAACCCACCTAAGCTTCCATGTTCCCATCTGTTTAAGAATACAATAAATCTATGAGGTAACCACAGATAGAGGAGAAAGTTAACCAGAGATAGAGGAGACTGACTGGTACATATTTGACACACAGAAATATCAATTTCTTTTTTTTGTCTACTTTGAGCATAAAGTTTTCTTCCCTCTGGACACTTAACAAAATGAGGGGGAGGGAGAAGTGGAACCAAAAAATTAATGAAACAAAGCCAAATTGAGAATAGCCTTCATCTCCTCCTTCAAAAAAGACCCTTGACAAAATCTTAACACTTTCTCTTTTTTGGGTCCGATCGTGGGGCTTGAACTCTGGGCTTGGGTGCTGTCCCTCAGCTCTTCAGCTCAAAGCTAGCACTCTACCACTTGAGCCACAGCGCCACTTCCGGCCTTTTCTTTTTGCTTATGTGGTGTTGAGGAATCGAACCCAGGGCCTCGAGCATGCAAGGCAAGCACTCTACCACTGAGCCACCTTCCCAGCCCCAACACTTTCTAACTCTTAAGGCAAACACAAAAAAAAATCCCAAGCTTAATTTTTTTTTTTTACTTATTAGAATCAAATCTAGTTTTTCTTGAGGAAAAAAATACTGTGGGAAAAATACATTTTCTATCCTGCATAATAGCCTAAAATTAAGGGTGACATTACAAAATGGAAGCGGATCATTTCCCCTCAGAGAAAGGGGAGAATCAAGACAGGAATAAGACCTTTTATTACCAGAAGATGTTAAGGATCGACAAATGTCAAGAACAACACAGCCTACCCCAACTGAGATGAGGCATTTTTACGGAAGTGACATTTTAAAGACAAGGGTGTGAGGGACAGTTGTTTCTATTCCTAGTTCCAAAGGGGTCAGTTCTACCATCTGTGTATGACACCAAGTGAAAGAAGTTAAAGAAAACGATTATGAACAGTACATTCTAAACCTATGTAATCTACAAAATATGAGCTGGAGAAAATGAGTTTTAAGGTTGCGTGTCTGGGGAGTGAAATTCAGTAATGCAGACTTTATCTAATCTCTCTGAGCCAGAAAACAAAACAGTCAATCCTTTGTACATCCGCTAGAACAAAGGAACAATGAGACTGGGAAGTGCCTGGGCTGCGAGAACCTGCCCTGGAAACAAACACTTAAAACCCATTTATACTGTGATAAAGCCCTTTGCTGGCACTGCTCCACTATTGCTGTGCATGCTGCAGAATCGAAAGGGCTTTCAGACTTTTTTTTGAAATCTAAGTACAGTGAAAACTAGCTGTATTAAAAAGGTTGTCATTTTTAAATTAAGGGTGGAAATTTCACGTGTGTGTGTGTGTGTGTGTGTGTGTGTGTGTTCCACATGTGTACTCTGTATGGGTGTGCATGTGACAGAGACAGATTGCTTTTTTGTTTTGTTTTGCTTCTTTCCTTTTCCTTCCTTTCTTCTTTCCTTCCTTCCTTTCTTTCTTCCTTCCTTCTTTTCTTTCATTTTTTCTTTCCTTCCTTCTTTCCTTCCTTCCCTTCCTTTCCCTTTCCTTCCTTCCTTCCTTCCTTCCTTCCTTCCTTCCTTCCTTCCTTCCTTCCTTCCTTCCTTCCTTCCTTTCTTGTTCCCATACTGGACTTGAACTCTAGACTTGTGCTCTACCACTTAAGCCACACCTCTACTTCTGAGTTTTTACTGGTCAATTGAAGATAAGAGTCTCAGAGTTTTTTTCTGCCCAGGCTGGCACCAAACCAAACCACTATACTCAGATCTGAATAGCTAGGATTACAGGTATGAGCCATTGGTGCCCAGCTCAGAGATTGATTTTTAATGTTACTTGACAATTCATTTATGTACCTGTAATTTTCTACTCACAGTAAACTCTTCTTAATTTACAAACTTTATACTGATTTTTAGTGGTTTAATGTACATATGTGTGTATTTACAGTTTCTTTGGTTTTCTCACTCTTACCCTATCCATAGTAGCCAATAAAATATTACAGACTGTAAGGACTGTCAAAAATCACAAATCAATTTTTTACTTTTTTTTTTGTCTATGGGGGGAGGCTTGAACTCTGGGCCTGGGCGCTGTCCCTCAGCTCTTCAGCTCAAGACTAGCACTTGACCACTTTATCCATAGCACCACTTCTGGTTTTCTGAGTGATTTATTGGAGATAAGAGTCTCATGGAGGACTTTCCTGCCTGGGCTGGCTTTGAACTGCCATCCTCAGATCTCAGCCTCCTGAGGATTCCATGCATGAGCCACCGGCACTTGGCTAATTTTTTATTCTTGATATACATATCAAAGTTTGTCACTAACAATAAATTTCAGAATTCATTGTATTTCTTGGATCCAGACAGACCTGAAAATAAAATGCCAAATGCCAGGTTCTACACTATTTACCAGAAACACTTACATGAATCTACCGGCATGAATTTCATAGACAGGCTTAATATCAACATACTGTTTCTTTTCTCAAAGAAAAAGCTTAGAAAAATTCCTTTAAAAATGAGCATATCCTATGAAATTCAGAAAATGAGGCGAGGAGTTGGTTTTGGAGGGACAGGGAGAATGATAAAAGAGGTGACATTCATCAAGACGCATTACACTTATAAACTAATTTGTTAAATGGTAACCTCTTTGTACAACTACTTAAAG